CTGCAGCACGTCTGCAAGGTCGGTGCAGTGATAGATGGGATTCGCGTGGATGGGGTCGGAGGATCGAGCCGCATCGTCCATGCATCGGCGATGCAGCTCGATGCGGAGCCCGATTTTCTCAACGCCGGCGTCTGGCGATGCATCGCCGACGTCGCGGATGCATCGGCGATGCATTGGCGATGCGGCGCGATCTTTCGACCCCATTAATTCGGACCCCATCTAGGAGGCCTCTACGGACCTCGATCTTAAGGGCCAGTGTTCTTCGTGTTTGTTGGAGGCTCTCGTGCATCCTGGGGGAATGGTACCCTGAGATGTTCTGCTTGGTTTTGGCTTCATTTTCTTAAACGATGTTCTTCTGGTCCGATTGTGCCACCTGGAGAGTGAAGAATGGACCGATTGGGTGTGCACGCTTGCGTGCCGGCGTAGGACTCGTGCAATGCAGTTCCATTCTCTCTTTCGGCGCCGAGCGCTCCAGCGTATGCTCGCTGTGCTTCGGGTCCCAGGGTACCCGTTTTTGAGCCAGGGCTCTTGCACTGCATCGAGAAGCGGCTTGTGGAACGTTGATCATCGGCTGTCCGCGTCCACCTCACTTCCGTCAGGAGGGGAAATAACACACAGACACACATAGAAATATTCCCGGGAAAATGTAGGAAAACATGCGAAGCGGCGGAGAAGACGAAGCTCCAGAAAATATGCCAGCAGATAGGAGAATCTTGGGATGTGTGTGAATCAATGTGTGTCCCTGGGCCCACCCGTTCCCCCCGTGTCCCCACTCCAGAAAAATATCGGGACTTGACTTGCGAGGCATAGGTTTAAGCAAAAAAAAAAACGAAAGGGAACCTCTTGGCCTGCTTTCGTTTGCCTTTGCAGCCAGTGCATCGTGCAACGCGTTGCCCACGCGTTCAGCCTCGTTCCCCCTTTCGCGGCCGAAGTCGGAAGACATGTGTCGCGTGCGTCAAAGCGCGCGTCTTTCATGCGAGGATCGCTTCCCGTGCTTCGCTTGCCGCGCAGGGCCTTTGGAAGTCGCTCGACTCGCTCTGCACTCGCTGCGCGCGGTTCAGTTCTCGTTGGACAGCACCTCTGGAAGTTGCATTTGTTCCCGGGGGCTGCCGCACTTGGCTGTTTTTGCGTGTGCCGATTGCCGTCTTAGCAGAGCCAGCTTCAACAAACAACTCCTTCCTGTTTCCTTCCTTCTCGGTCCTCTCTGCCTCTCCCTGTCTGCGTCTTCTCTCCCCGGCCCCCTTTGCCCGAGCGGTTCGGGGTTCGGGCCTCGAGGATTGACGTTCGAGTTTTTTTGGGGGGGCCTTCTGAGCCCCGCCGCGTCGCCGTGCTGGACGCAGCTTGAAAGCTTGTGCGTGTTTGGTCCCACGAGGGACCTGGGGACCTGTTCAGTCGGTAGAACGATTGTTACTCAGGCGGGAAATCGCTTGCTCTGGTATCAGGACTCATGCGTGACATCTCGCAGAACAAAAAAAAAAAAACATACTGATATGAGACGACAGGCGGTTCTCATCGCCTCGACGTGCGGACGTGCCTGGTGGTTCGGGGTAGGAGGCTTCGGGGCGCCTGGGACTTGGGGGAGAGGCGCTCGAGGCGCCCAGGGCCTTGCGGGTCTTTGGGAGGGAGGTCTCTTGGGCCGTTTTGGGGGCTTCGTGGTCCGTCCAGACACCATCATGGGCCGACTTCAAGGCGGCCTGGGGCCGTCTTCGAAACATCTTGGGCCATCCTGCTCTCGACGGCGCGGACCCATAGCATTCTGCAAGGGGCCGCGGCCGGTGCAGCGCGGTTCCGTTGCCTTCTAAGAGGCACAGGCCCATCGAGAGGAGGGGCGCACGCGGCGGCGTGCTGGGGGGGGGCTGTTAGAATAGTATAGAATCCTTTTCAGACGGTCGACTGGTATTCCACTGCGCCGGTGCGGCGCGCGCGCGGCGGCGGATATGGAGTGGACCCTGTGTGTCGCTCGCGCGGGGGGGGAGCTCTGGAGATCGCCAGCGTCTTGCTTGAGAGTGGTCGAATCGCTTGGCGAGTTTCGGCCAGCGCCTTCCCATAACTGTTCGGATGCTATTGTGCAGTCAATTTTTCTGTGATGCCATAAATGTTACAGGCGTATGTAAGATATCTGGTGTCCTTGAAATAGGAGCGGAGGGTCTTTCGATTGTTGCGGACGCATGTTTCTACTTCGTGCTCGCGGCACGTAGCACCCCACAGTTGCGGATAAGAGTGAGGGGGCGGCGGGGACGTTGACAGTCTGAGGTTCTGTATAGATGATAAATACAACGAACCCGCCGCAGGCGCCGATTTCAATCAAAGCAATGTGGGTGGGTCGCGGGTGGGTCGCGGTTGGGTCGCGGGTGGATCGCGAGCCGGGTCGCGGGTGGGTCGCGGGTGGGTCGCGGTTGGGCGCGGCTGGGCGCGGGCGGGCAGCGGGGTGGGTCGCGGGTGGAGCGCGGGTGGGTCGCGGGTGGGTCGCGGGTGGGTCGCGGGTGGGTCGCGGGCCGGGTCGCGGGTGGGTCGCAGGTGGGTCGCGGGTGCGCGCGGCTGGGCCGCGGGTGGGTCGCGGGATCGGTCGCGGGTTGATCGTGGGTTTAGTCGCGGGGTGGGTCGCGGGCGGGTCGCAGGTGGGTCGCGGGTGGGTCGCGGGTGGGACGACGACAACAACAGCAACACTTACACCAACAACATCAACAATAACAACAACAATTGCAACGACAACCATAACAACATCAACAACAACAACAGCACCAACAACAGCAACAACAGCAACAACAACTGCAACACCACCACCACCAACAACAGCATCAATCATTTTCAGACTGTTCGATGTTACCTGCTCGCGTGCCGTTCAACACGTATATCAGCAACCCTCGAATCCCGCCTTCTTCGTCTTCGATCGTACCCCCGTGGGCGTGCAACTTCTTTCCTAGAACGTGCATGTCGCGCAGCACTCAAGGCAGGGGAAGAAATGACGGATGGAAAGAAGGAACACGGAGCAGGCGGGTTGCTGAATCGTGCGTCTTGCAGGGATCGAGAGGAAGTCTCGAGCGATAGCGCGAGTTCCACATACATCGTGTAGAAATCCACAGCGGGAGCATGCTTCCTGAGTGTCGAGGGCGCGGCGCCTGGATAATTTGTAAGGACTTCCCACGCGATAGCGCGATTCCTGTCTAAATTGTAAGGAGTTCCTGCGCCAGAGTGCGATTGGGAAATGCATTGTGAGGCAGTATCAGCATCAGGCGGGAGCCCTTGCTGTAACTTGGGGGCCCGCCGCCTAGTTTGAAGCTCAAGACTTTCCTTGGTAAACAAACAGAGTACCCGGGAGGGGCACTTGAATAGGAAAACTAAAATGGTTAGTTACCGGAGGGGGGTGGATCAACAATAATTATTCTTCACAAATGAAAATTCAGCAACAACAACAGTCCGCACCGCGAAACCTCTTTTCAGCCACGCGGCCACGGACAGTGAATGACCGTTTGGCCCCTTCACCCTGACAATTGTGTTAGTGTTACCGGGTCTTGATGTACGTTACGCACGTATGTGATTGATGCGTGTTATTGCATTGCGTTTCACATGCGCGCCTGGTATATGTCATGTTTGGATTTAGTTGAAAGATTAATGTACGTTGATGCACGCATCATTGGTGCCTTGTCAATATTGTGTATATGATGTGTGTTACCCACGTCTGTCTTTGATGTCCTTTATCGGCGCTGTTTCTTTTGGAAGTGATAGTTGTTCTTCGTGTCTGTGGACGGCGTGACGTCGTGACGTGCGACGCCGTGGCGCTTCCATGGTTAGGCTCGGCGATGGGGAGATGATCAGGGCAATTCGGAGATGACTTGGGCTTTGCGGCCGCGATCTGCAGGGCTGCCTAGGCGGGACACTCTGGGATAAAGTTAGGCCTGGCAGTCGCGGCATGCAGGGTTGGCGACCTGGGATTATCTGGGACATTCGGAGTTCAGTCGGTAATGGTGAGCCCGGTATGCAGGTTTGGTAGGCGTTTCTTTCTTGTAATTCTAATTTCACTTACTTGTCGGATGACGTACCCGACACACCTAAGACGCATGTCAAGACCATTGGGTGGGTCAACGTAGGACCGCATTTCGCTGGACCGCCCAGGACCTGACGAACGCGGCAACAACTGCGCAGTGGGCGGCGCCCTGGCCGACGAGTTCTTTGCCCCGCTGGACCTCTCAGGACCTCACGAAAGCGGCGACAGATGCGCAGTCGGCCGCGCCAAGGGAGGCCAGGTCTCATGGAGGGTCTGCGTAGGACTGCACCCCGCTGGACATCCCAGGAGCTCGCGACAGCGATGACACTTGCGCAGCTGGCATCGCCCGGAAAGGCGAGGTCCTCTGTCTGGTCTACGTGAGGCCGCACCCCGCTGGACCGCACAGCAGCTCAAGCAAGCGGCGGCAGCTGCGCAGTTGGCAGCGCCCAGGGAGACTGGGGCGCCTCTGTGTCTGCGCAGAGCCGCACTCCGTTGGACCTCCCAGGAGGCCTGCGGAAGCGGCGACAGCTGTGCATTCAGCAGCGTTTGGAGAGGCGGGGTCTCGGGTTGGGTCTGCTCAGGGCCGCGCCCCGCTGGACCGCCCAGGAGCCCCTGTGAGCTCACGAAAGCGGTGGCAGTCGCGCGGCAGGCAGCGCCCAGGGAGTCGAGGTCTATCTTGGTCCTGTGTAAGGCCGCCATTTGCTGGGACTTCCAGGAGCACGCCAGAGGTGCGAAGTTGGCAGCGCCCTGACAGCGCACGAGCACTACACAGCTAGGCTGTAGGCGACCGAGAGCACGATGCGCGAGGAGGAACTGGCGGGAGAAGGGGGAGAGGAGCAACCGTGCTTTGATTCAAAACGAGTGCCTTCTATAGGAGGGTCAGGCATATGTTTTATAATAGATAAAGTCAGCTGATATTGGCATTTCCTCTTGGGGATAATGATGTGAGGTAGTAGGAACCCGGCTTCTGCTCTGGGTTTTTGCCTCTTTCTCTCTGTAGTCCGCGCATCATCTCCGCGTGATGTTCTTTCAGCTTCGTTGTTCCAGCGTCGAGCGCTGACCCCTTGGACCTCTATTTGCGGAGCCTTCAGGCCAGGATTTCGAGCCGGATCGAATTGGTGTGAAGTCGGGCCTGTCCCTCTACAGGGGGAACACTCAAAAATAATCAAACAATAGTATGGGGACGATGTTTTGATCATGTTTGAGCATTTTTGGTGTACTTTGTGGGTATGTTTTGTTTTTCGTCCCAAATCCGCCTGTAGGGGGACATGCCCGACCTAAAATTGGTGCGATGTCGGGGTGATGTGTTCGACGCCGGAACCACGAGGCCCGAAGAACATACCATGCGCACGCGGAGGTGATGCGCGGACTGCAGGGGGGGGGGGGGCGGGGGGAACAGGGCGACGAGCTGGAGCAGGAACAGAGGAATATAGGAGGGGAGAGGGTGGTCGTTTTTTTATTTGTCGTTTTGCCGATTGGCGCGGGCCCTCGCACCCCCCCCTCCCCCCCCACCATGGAGTAGATCTTGGCTGTCTTTGGCGCCCGTTTCGAGCAGGTGGAGCCTCCCCATAATGGACGCACTTCTGCAAACAGTCTCACTAAGCAGAGGTCCTGAGCCATACCCCACCCCTCCCACCCTCTTCCTCCCAATGTCGAAACGCCGAATCAACAAACGCCCACAAGAAGTAAGGCTCTGGGCCAAGTTGACTGCTGCCCCCCTGTGGGTCTACACAAACTCAGCGCCAGCCTGCTGAGCGCGCTCGCGCTCTGCGCCCCGAAGGTGGGCCGCATGATCGAGACAAAGTTGAAGGACGTGAAGAATCCGAGTGGTCCTCTGGGCCAGGAGCTTACTTGCCTCCGGAACAAGCACAAGGAGTTGGCCAAGACGCTCCAAGGACACCAGGTTTTTCAGACGCCTGGCTCGTCAGTTGCATTCGTGGTGTCGTAGGTGTCTTGCTTGTTTCTTTTCGCACCGTGCACATGCATGTGCTTGCCGATATCGACAGGCACATGCGGTACCTTGGCAGTTGCCCGTGCAATTATTTTCAGCATCGGTCTGTGAAGGTTCGCTCCGTAGCTGCACGCAACGCATGTATGTGTTCTGTATGCAGCTGAGAGCGATGCGTGCATCACTTAACCGCATGATTAATCTGCAAGGCGGGCGATGAGGTCCAGGTAGATCTGACAGAGACGAAGGGCCATCAGCACGACCATAACGGCGACGATGAGTGGAAAGGGACGAGAGGGACTATCCGTGCGATGAGGTGCCACAAGATTAGCCACAAGGCTTCACATGAAGGGAACGACGGGACATTCTAAAGAGGGACGGTTTAGGACGCCTCCGAGGCTCCTACATCCTCCAAGTCGCCTAGAGCAAAACATGCTCTCGATTGCCAATTATCCGTCCATGCGAAATGGGTTACGCATGTACCCTCCCCAACCGAGGCTTTGGTTTATATTCCATCTCCGAGTGATGCGTGTTCATATGTTTTCAGAACTGTGGTTCCGATTAATTTATCGGAGAAGCCATGCCAGTCAGGCCGGCATCCGTTGCCTTCTCTTCCTTGCTAGACAAGACAATCAGGTGCACACGCGTTGTCATAAGAAGCGCGTTGTGTAAAATGTCAAATGAAACCATGCGGGCCACACATGCGTGCGCACAAGTCAAGACCAAGTAAAATCAGTGGCGCCCACTGCCTATTCAGCAGCATCTATCGAGCGACATCTGCCATCCTACACACCCGCAAGGCCGTGCCTGCACTCGCTGGAATCACACCAGCCAGTGTGTTGTCTTGCCGACACTCGCTGGAACCGCTCCCCCACGGGACGCACTGCTGCAAACAGTCGCACGGAGCAGATGTCCCGAGCCAGCCCCTCGCACAAAGAGCCGGCGCGCAGACGGGCGGCAGCGGGCCAAGGACGCCAAGTCGCAGGCGGCCTCCGACGCCCCGCGCCCGGCGGCCCTGCGCTCCGCCGCGCTTGCGCTCGCGCCCTCCGCCGCGGATCGCAGGCGATCTTGCGGCCCCCATAGGGCTCAATCTGCTGATGTTCCGACCTAGGTTCAGCCTCGACCACTAGAAAGAATTGCGAGCACGAAGTCACGTGTGGGGCCCTGGTAGGCAATACTCGTTCGACACTTCGCTGGCGTGTCGGGCAGACACTGCTTTGATATTCTGCTGGGTGTTCGAAATTATTTCTGTTCAGTACTTGGGAGCAACATAAACTCAAGTTTGACTCACCCGATTCTGTTCGATTTCGATGTCTTCCGATTCCGGCTCGATTCGACGGTTTCAGGTTCCGATGCGGGTTCCGGTTTCTCAGCGGAGGTTTGCCAGCTTGCCGATGTCTTTCGATGGGACTTTCCCGACTCGCTTGCCGATTTCTCCAGATTCGAATCATGCCGAGCGCCGATCCGACTTATCCACTCGATTCTGGGCTTTCCTGCCCAGCCCCCGACAACTCACCGAGATATACAGCCGCTCTAGAAGAGGAGGGGGACCAGGGGATACACCCCCAGGGTGTTTATTCGGACGCCCCCCATCGAGGATGGACGCCCCCCTATCGTATGTCCCCGAGTGGGGCCCCCATTGATGGCCCCTTCGGAAACCCAACGAAGTCGGGGATACGGGTCGACATGTCTATCCCCTGCTATTGGGGGAAGGGACGGTCACCGAGGGGGATCTCACAATTATCGGCCCTCGCTGGGGACGCGCCATGTTAAGGGGCGGGCCTTCTCAGAAGGCTCGGAAGTCCCCCAGCCTTCTGAGAAGTTTTCTCAGCATCCCGCGAGGGCATCAAACGTTTCCCAGAAGGCGCGAGGGCTTCTGAGAAGTCCCGCCGCCTTCTGAGAGGGCCTTCTCCTTCTCAGTTTCCCCTCCTCGCTCGCCGCCAAGTGTGCGCGAGCGTCGCAGGAGATCAGACGGCATAGACATCAAAACCGTGTTGGAGCTCCGCGCAGAGTTCTTGGATCGGCGCTGGAGCCCCCAATGGCGGTGCCAGAGGACCGTCCTGGACCACGTGGCTCAGGCAGCTGACGTCTTCGTGCAGGTATTCGAAGAGCTGTGGGACCCATACCCCGACCAGGCAAACAAGATCATCGCTGCCGTCCTGACCGCGTGCAGGGCATTGGCCTATTTGGCTCAGCGTCGCATGGCCTTTCCCGACGAGGACGTCCTCGAACATGCTTCAGGCTGTCGCCGTCTGCGCCGTACAATCCTCCATCCTCCTCTCTGGCGCCGCCCCTGGCGCGCTCCGCGCGCGGGGAAGGGGGGGACTCGGCGCCGATCCAGGACATCCGCGCGGAGCTCCGAAGAAGTGTTCCAGGGCCGTGGCGCGCGCGCGTATGGCCTTGAGTCGGGCACGTCCCTCTGCAGGAGGAATGTTCGAAAATAATATAAAATGGTATTGGGACGATTTTTTGATTGGTTGATTGTGTTTGAATATCTTTAGGTATATTTGTGATGTTTCGTTCACAATCCCCCTGTAGGAGGACATACCCGACCTAATCGTGGCGCGCGCGTGCATAGCACTCTGCCGATTGACACCGCCCGCGCCCCTCGCGGGCCCGCCTTTGGGCGCACCGCATTGGCTTGGCCCGACCTGGCCTCGCCTTCCAGTCAGAGACCTCCCCGGAGGCTTCCGGGGGGGCCTTCGGGAGAAGACCCATGGGCAGGAGACCCCTTGTGGACATCCGGAGAGCAGGACGAGGCGGAGAAGCACGGGGAGGGCGACGACCACGACATACCAGGATAGGGAGAAGGACGGTTTGCGGGGGCTCGGGGGTAGAGCCCTGGGAGGTTAGAGGGGCACGGGGATGACGTACTCCATGGTTCGAGGGAAGGGGTCATGACCAAGATGTCGCGGGATCCTGCCGATGCCGATCTTGATTATGGTTCAAGTCGGCCGTCGCTGACTCGCGAGGCGTATCCACGAATTGACACTGACCAAGGTCGACGTTGGCCAAGATCGGCACGACATGTCCGCGTTCAGTCTCGATCATTGTCCCCGTGTTCTTCCCCTCTACGCCCCGATGGCGTCTGGGAAGCAGCTCGCATGATGCCTTCTCGCCAGGGCCACGAGCTTGACCGTGGTGATGTCAGAACAGCAGAGCCGGACTGTCCGCCACGCTTGTTCTTTCTATTGCCCTTGTCATAGGCTTTGACGTGGTTTGGCCCCTCGCCCTCAGCGATGTTGACCACCTCCGCGCCCTTGAAGTCCTGAAAGCTTGGGTCGACAGATAGCCACATCATGAGAATGTCCTCTTCCGGCTCCATCGCCACGCCTTCACCTCCGTGGTCTGCGTTGCCTTCCAGTCCGTCTGCTCCTTCATGCCAAGAGCAGCATCCCGCCGCCTTCTGAGAGGGCCTTCTCCTTCTCATTTGCCCCCCTCGCTCGCCGCCGATTCCCCCCTGGTCAGAGTCGGTGGGCCCAGGGGTCCGCACCTCGGCCACAGAGCCTCCTCCCGGCCCGGGGGCGCCGAAGCTTTGTGGGGACCTGCATCTCACCTGCTCGATGCCGTCGGGGGGTCATCACCGTCATCACTGTCAGCAGCAGCATCGAGTACGGGGCCTACGGCTAAACACCACCACCACCTCCCTAATCCCATCGATCGTCTTATGATGTTCCAACCTACTTTTAGCCTCGATCACCAGAAAGCATTTCGAGCACCAAGAAAGTATTGGAACTGGAGGGTCTTCACGTGTCGGGCCTTGGGAGGCGATACTCGTTCGACATTGGTTCGACACTTGTCTGAGTGCTCGAAATTATTTCTGGGATGTGGTCCTTCGGTACGATGGGAGCAACGTAATCCTCCCCCAGGAAACATGAGGAGAGGAGAAGGGTAGAGGAGGGAGGGGGAGGGAATGGAGGTGGTGGTAGTAGTGGTGGTGTTTATTCTTGGGGCACGTCCGTATCCTTTTTCTGCCCCTCGTCCTAATCGCTATGTCTGACACTCTGGGCCAAGGTCTTTCTCAGCCAGCTGACGCCCGCGACCAGCAAGCTGGAGGACCTCTTACCGCCCCAGAGCTGGTGGCAAGGGAAACTGTAGATCTGCAGCTGACGAGGAGAGACATACGCTTGCATGATGCCTGGCAAATCATGTGCACCCGCATGCGTCGATTTGACCACGGGTGAACATACGGCAGAGCGGATGAAGTTGTGCCTTGTGTTTGGTGTTTGGTGCTCCATGCGCGTCCAATGGGCTATGACGGAGCAGGGCGGTGAATAACGAGGTGTGCAGGGAGAAACGGGGGACGGACGGAGGGAGAGAGGGAGAGAAGGAGAGAGAGAGAGAGAGAGAGGGAGATAGGAAGAGACAGTAAGAGGGAGAGATAGAGAGAGAGAGAGAGAGAGCGGCGCTGAGAGAGGGAGGGGGAGAGAGAGAGAGATAGAGAGAGAGAGACGAGAGAGAGAGAGAGATAGCGATAGAGAGAGAGAGAGAGCGAGAGAGAACGGCGGAGAGCGAGGACATTAGAGACCTGGTTGCGATTGGGGGGAGCCTGGGGAAGGGGACGTGGCCTTGAGGGGGAATGCCATGGACACCCCTGCCTCAGCTGGTCTTGCGAAACTAGGCCTAGCGCGGCTGGGGCCAATCTGCGCATGCGTCTGGGTTTTGAAGGGTGATTCGTGTGATTTTAACGAACCCTCCGTAACTTCATCCAAACTCGAAGGGGAGGAGGGCGAGCCAAACATATCCGCCTTGCTGGGAGCTCCGCATTGCGTGCATGTGCGCTCGCAGCGTATGCGTACCAGCGGGGAGCGACGAGCCTTCCATACGCTACATTGACATTCCGAGAGCGGCAGTCGGAGTTTTGCGTTGTCCTCACTTCGCCTCGTCCTCCCCCTTTGTCCGACCTTGCGCATGCACGTATGCAAATGCACGGGACTGCGAACACCTGTTCCCCCGCCATGCGCGATGGCGGAGTTGCCAAAATTTCCAATTCGATGGTTCGATGTGGCGTTTTTGAGTAAGTCAATTTGCTTTGCGTGTACGATATCAGCGGGCCGCGGGATCAGGCTGGCACCCCTGCTGGGGATGTCGACTCTGCAGGTTGGTACCTCCTCTCTCACGCAACGCCGCGCGGCGAACCCAATCCATGGCCGCGCGCACTCCTCCTCCTCCTCCTCCTCCTCCTCCTCCTTCTCCTCCTCCTCCTCCTCCTCCTCCTCCTCCTGGGCGTCGCGCGTGGCCGCGGGAGGCACCCAAGCCCGAGCACGTTGTGCCCGAGGTTTTGAGGATGGGGGAGGGGAGGGGCAGCGGGGCCCGTCCAACCAACCCCACAGCCCCGAGACTCGAGAGAGACGAGGAGGTCCGAGATGGGGCAGAGGGCGTTCGTGCCACTCGCGTCGCACGTGCCACTCAAGACGGAGTGTAATACATGTGATGCACTAGTCCGTAGCGCGGCAGACGACATAACTTTATTGGCAACGTTGGGGGCGACGTACAACCTTGGTGGTAACGCTGGGGGCGACGTACAACCTAACAGCAAGCTGTAGTACAGCGTGTAAGCTGAGGCAGCGGAATCTATGTAAGCATCGCATTCGACAGCCAATCGTATACGTTGGCTGGTGCTCCCGCATGGGCACTCACCGCGTGCGCATGTCTGCGGCCCCTCCATGGCTGTTGTAGGCCCACGCTTGCCGCACGGATGGGTCGGCGACGGAAGGCCAGTGGTGTTGCAGAGCTCGGCGGTAGCCGAGGTACCGTGTTGATCCGGTGGGTCGACGAAGTACTTCGAGCCACGGAGTTGCGGATCGTCTGGCAGGTCTTCGGTTCCCTGGCTCACGCAGTGCACTCTCATTTGCATGTGCTGATCTGGCGTTTGATCGTGATCTGGGCATTCTGGCCCGTAGGTGTTGGCGACGTCAGCTTGCTTGAGGTCGCCGATGGTCGAAGTAGACGCAAAGGTATCCAGTGTTCCTCCGTGTGGGGGTCCCGGGGCATGTAGTAGTAGAAGCGTACCAGTGATTCCCAAGGGTGTGTCTCCACGATCACGTAGTTGCACGACGAAGTCCAACAACCATCGCATAGCGGCAGCAGTATTTATTCTGGTGGGTTCCTCCTGCTTCATCGTCGATGGGAACTTTTTAGCTTGGCTTTTAGCTACCTCTGCGCACTTGGCTTTGTAAATGCCGACACGTTTGATGCATGATTTCTCGAAGTTGTGTTCCAACGCTGTTTTGAGGTCTGCGATTTTGAAGTAGACTTAGTCGTCCGTACCGTATGTAATTATACAAACGAGTTGGAACCACGCGTTATCGCAGCTCAAAACGACTGGCCAGATGGCCGCTTCCACCAGCGTAATGTACTCTTTGCCGGCAGCGTCATTGATGTCTCGACAGTTGACTATGTGGGTATAGGTGGTCATTGCATATACGCCTTGAGCTGCAACCAGTCGCCCGAGCCAGTAGCTAGGGTGATAACATGATGTATGTGATGAGCAGCTAATGCATCAGTGTACGATGGTCTAGTCAGAGGTGGGAGAAAGAAGGCGAACTGGCGGGTACGTAATCTGGAGGTAAATCGTGATCAGGGTGGGGCCTTGTGTCCTCTCAGTAGTCCTGTGGTGTCCGTGACGGAGGAGACACAATACCCATGCCAGTGGTACCACGCTGGCCGCGTGCTCGTGAGAAGATCAGGTGGGGAAAAGATGCGTACATTTTGCTTGGGACCACTCGAGCACGCACACTGCAGGCCGCAGGTAGAGTACGTACATTGTGGGGTAGGTGTTGAAAGCAAGTCTGGGAGCGCACCCACGTATTACAGGTTGCTGCACATGTATGTAGTGCCTCTCAGTTGCACTTCTTGTCGTTGTCGTTCTTCGTGTCCGCGTTGGTCTCGCTGGGTTTGTCGGTTTTGCGCCTCTTGTTGATGCCTGCGAGGTAGCTGACGTCCGCAAGTTAGTAGTCCTTGCCCTCGGTTTTACTGACCTCGTCCTCGTCGTTGTAGTACATCTCGAACGCGATGTCCATGAATTTGACGAGTTTGTAGGATGGCGTGTGGGTATCCTTGAAGGCCCACTGTGGCACGTTCTCGCCGTCTTCGTAGCGCAGCCTGGTGTAGTAGTGGACCTCGTCTTTCTGGAGCGGGTTGTAGTGGAGTTTCGTCGTTGTGTTGAGCCGGTCTCCGTCTTTTGCGTACGGGCACACAACGATTTGGCCCAGGTAGCATGCCGGGTTGTCGAATGATTCCTCGAAGAGTTTCTTTTGCTGTATGTTCATCATGGTAGATCGTCATCTCAGTGTCCGAAGGGATCGGCCTTGTAAAGTTGTCGTCGCACGGCTTGTAGTCGACCAGGAAATGATGACCTCGGGGCTTTCGTGGGTCCCTTCTACTCCAGATCTTTCTGTTCTGTTCTCCTCCTGTTCCTTCGCCTCCTCCTCCCTCTCCTTTTCCTGTCGGAGGCGTGCAGAAGCTTGAATAAGTCGTTGAATGCATTCGGGCGGATTCTCTTCCTTCTCTCGAAAAACCCCACTGACAACCCTTGTGGAGAACACCTCCATGCCCCCCGAGGATGCATGCCGTGCGGGGGATTCTGACGATTCGGGGCGGCCGAGGCGGGGGAGCGGCGTGCTGGTGGCTCCACTCCTGGCCTGCCAAATGCAAATGTTCGGATGCAACTCCTGGGAGGTCAGATTCTGATTTCGCCCTGGTCCGAAGTCCCGCTTGATCCCGCTTAATCCTTCTGAATACAGCTTAATCTGCGGCCTAATCCGGCGTGGCAGCCCCCCAATGGGGCTTAAGCCTCCTTAGTTCTTCCGACAAAGACCTCCCAGTAGTTGCCTCCTAACACTCCTGGCCTGCCAGATGCCAATGAGGCCCGACGGCTCGATGCCGAGCCAGGTTTCCGCCACGCCCACTGCGGCGCTGCGGCGCGATGCTCCGACCCCACCTGCTCTCGGACCCCACCTGGGAGGGCCCCGCCCGCCGCCCACCCCCTGTCAAGGAGGAGGAGGAGGAGGAGGAGGAGGAGGAGGAGGAGGAAGGAGGAGGAGGAGGAGGAGGAGGAAGAGGAGGGAGGAGGAGGAGGAGGAGGAGGAGGAGGAGGGGAGGAGGAGGAGGAGGAGGAGGAGGAGGAGGAGGAGGAGGAGGAGGAGGAGGAGGAGGAGGAGGAGGAGGAGGAGGAGGAGGAGGAGGAGGAGGAGGGAGGAGGAGGAGGAGGAGGAGGAGGAGGAGGAGGAGGAGGAGGAGGAGGAGGAGGAGAGGGAGGAGGAGGAGGAGGAGGAGGAGGAGGAGGAGGAGGAGGAGGAGGAGGAGGAGGAGGAGGAGGAGGAGGAAGGAGGAGGAGGAGGACGGAGGAGGAGGTAGATGAGGAAGAGGGGGGTGTAGATGAGGAAGAGGGGGGGAAGCGAGCAGGAGAAGGCCTCCTCGGAAGGCGGCGGCGCTCCCGAGAAGCCCTCCGGCCTCCTGAGAGGCTTCTGGGAACATTTCTTGGAAGGCCGGGGGACTTTGAGGAAAAGCAGCCCAGATCCGGCAATGGGCGTTTACGGAACGGCCCTGGGCGTTTGCTAAGCGCAGCCCTGCCCTGGTCGATTCCTTCTGTGGGTGCGTTTGTTCAACGGCCCTCTCGTGTCGGGGCGGTCATTCTGGGGGTCGATATTCTTTGCCCCCGAAAATTGTTCAGAAGGCCAGGGACTTCGGAGCCCTCTAAGAAGGCCCGCCCCCTCTCCCTTCCCCCCCCTGCGCGCCGCCAAGTTTAAGTCGGGCCTATCCCAGTACAGGGGGAATGTTCAAAAATAGTCCAAACATAGTCTGAGGACTATTTATCCTTGACCATTCAGGGGTCATTGTTTGGGGGTATCTTTTGTTTTTCGTCCAAAATCCCCCTGTAGGGGGACAGGCCCGACTTAACGCCAAGTCCCCCCCAGAGATCCGATGTCGTGATTTGTTCAATAGGGGGTCCCTGGAGGTCCCGACCTCTTCCACGGGACCGGTTTTCCATCCTGAGTCGTTTTTGACGGTCCTGGGGCCCGGCGATGGCCCCTGTGAGGCAGACAGGGGCGAAAAACCTCCGTCT